TTTGAACCACAAGGTCAACAGTTCAAAAACACCAGCTGTTCCTCAGAAACCCTATACAGGGTCATTGTGATTTGGAACCAATTCAACAGCACTTAATTCTGGATATTTTTGTTTTACTCATATTTGTCTAATTCAAGTTTTGTGTCAGGGACTACTTGTTTGAAGGCAAAAGTATCTGTTCCTGTTTGACCTTCAGAACTAGGAGCTGAGTCTTTCACCACATGAAACCACCATTGACGCAGGTAATACAAAGACCACCATTTTTCTAAGTGTTTACTCTGGCTACAGTAGGAAAAATTGACGAAAGAGGGGCCAAAATAGATGTGAGATCAAAGGTTATTGTAGGGCTATAAGATTGATGCTTAAACTAGAATTGTGCAGAAATGGACAAGAGGACAATTTCTACTACAAGATCTGGTTTGAAATTGGTGATGTATTTAGGAATAATGTAAAACATGAGGCTTTCTGCTCCCGTAAAGATTTGCAGCCTTGGAAACCCTGTGTAAGGTCATTATGAGTTGGAACCGACTCCACGGTACTTAACAACAACAAGAAGGTAAAAGAAGGAATTAAGATAATTACTAGGTCTTGGTATGGCACTGTGGGTTAAAGCACCAGACTGCAAGGTTGCTTTGAACAACAACGTCTGTGGTTCAAGCTAACCAGCCGCTCCTTGGAAACTCTATACATGGTTGCCATGAGTCAGTACCAGCTCAACAGCATTTAACATTCTGTCTTATGGAGTGCTGGAGTGGCTCTGTAGGATAAGCACTGGACTGCTAACCACAAGGTTGGCAGTTCAAACCCACCAGCCACTCCTTGGAAACCCCATATAGGGTTGCTGTGAGTCGGAATTCACTTGGACTCGCCAGCAGTGGGTTTAAGCTTTTGGTTTTAATGACCAATCAGGGATCCAGGAATAATTTATCAAAGAATAATTCCATTTTGCTTAGTATACATCTATGAGAACATGGTTTACTTTACCAGAAAATTTCTACTTCAGAACATCTTTTAATTGAGGCAAAGTTTAGTGATCTAGAAAAGACTTGTAATTCATCAGTTTTACAGATGACACACCAAAGACAATGGAGGTTGTGGGGAGCTTATTTGTCTTTAGTCACACAGTAAAAGGCTTGTTTGACGTTAGAAATATCCAGCCTTCTGTACTTCCCATTCAAATATATTCCTCTCTCATTTCATGGGTACACATATCACACACCAATGACTATATCTAGAAAACATAGATTAAATTGCCTACTCGTCACCTAAAGCAAAAATTTGACCTCAGATCACCCCTCCAACAGTAATAATTTTAATAAAAAGTAAAAGTAGCAGAAGTATCATTTACAAATGATTTCATTTCTATCGGAGAAGTTAACATTGTTACTGCTGTATAAAAACCACTTGGAAACGAGCTCTTTAGATGCCTAGATCAAATATATTCCTTTTTGAAAAAGAATTTTAACATAAATTTTGTGAAAGCATCTCAGAAAGATGGGTACTATATTAATTTAGGAGTTAGGGCAAGGTGAAGGCTCAGTAGTAGGCCTTTGGACCCCACCACTGCTTTAACTAAAAATAGGTATTCTGTGGCTACTCTCACCTGTTTTAGATATTGGAGCATTATATTCTGTGTTAGAGTCCATCAACAATCTGGTTCAGCTGCTATAATCTTTGGAAACCACTGTACTTGATTAATGGAGCCTTGGTGGCAATGTAGCATAAGCACTGAACTGCTTGCTAAAAGGTCAGCAGTTCAAACCTACCAGCCACTCTGCAAGAGAAAGATGAGGGTTTCTGTTCCAAGATTTACAGCTTTGGAAACGCTATCCAGGATCACTACAAAGATTATTGTTAAGTACCATTAAGCCGGCTCTGACTCATAGCGACTCTGTATAGTTTCTGAGGAGCAGCTGGTAGGTTTGAACTGCTGACCTTGCAGTGAGCAGCCTTGTGCTTACTCTATGGTGCCATTCCAGGACTCTACTACAAGGATTATTAGTTGGTTAATATCTATACACTGGAGCCAGGACCCACGGCAATAGCTCAGAGGCATGCAGATACAGGGTTTAAATATACAAGGACCAAAAACATGGTGGTTATTTGGAGTCCAGAATGAATACACACTGTTAGTCCTGAGAAGAGATGCAGGGGAGGACTGGACAGGCAGGCACTTAAGTTGCTGTCTACTAAAGTAAGTTACTCTGATTCAGAATTACCCCAGAAACCCATGGCTAACATGGGATAGTTTATAGACCTCTGTTCAGGTGCATTAAAGCTGAAATTGTGTAAGTGGCATCCCGAGATGAAATATTCTGATGTTCAGTGTCTCACTGTCCTCAAAACCACTTTGCTATGCAAAATCCGACTCTGCTGTCTGTCCCCAACTAAACATGAAAATGATAACAGAAAAAAGTCACTCTTTCTTTTAAAAAAAATTTCTGTGCAGCTCAGCAGATGGAGAAATTGGAGTACCTCCAGTTAATTTCTTCTGAATCCATTTGGTGGCTTAAACTCAGACTCAAACATCAGCTTTTTGTAAGGCCTAAAGAACACTGCCTCTAGGTGCCTAATATGTCAGCTACTCACAGAGTCAAGTAATCAAGTAAGAAACCCTGGTACATTTCATGGTTCAGCAGTAAGTCCATGGCCCGGGAATCATTAGTCTCTGACTCAAGTATGGCCAACAGGCATTCAGTACCTGCTCCCAAGTATTAAAGGTAACATCAGCCATGAAACAAAAAAAGGTTCTCACAAGTCATCTTGATGTACGGCCACAATTCAGTTAGTTAACCCATTTAAAAAAAAAAAAAGACTGAGTTTTTCCTTTCATTAAATCGGTGCTCAGAGATTTTATAGCAAACAGCATATATAAGAGGTGTTACAAAATACAAGTTAATTTGGTTAACACTGACAGGTATACACTAAGGTATAAAAACAGGTGTTTGATTTGGAAATTCAACTTTATTTATAAATGTTATCCTATACACAAGGGGTCATTCCACCCCTTTAAAATACCATAACTGACGATTTCCACAAAAAGCATTTACATAATTTTAACCTCTTCCATAAAACTGTGTTATGGAATGTGCAAATAATCTCACAAGATGATCTAAGACATAAAAACAAAACAAAAGACAACTTGTCCAGCATAAATGCTCTATTGAATAAATTCAGAATCATACACCGTAATATGTTACTTTACCAAGAAATGGAAAGATGGGATAGTGTTGCTGGAGATCGATACCTCACAATAACACTTCCCTTCTTACACAGTTTAGTTGTGACTGTATTGTTTAGGATTGTTCTTGCAGGCTAACATTTATGCTGACGTCCAAAAATAAGTCCTCATAAAAGGGCACAGACTTCTGTACACAGGTTTTTCTATGTTATAGCATGTAGATACTGGTCTAATCTCATCATTCAGGCAATTTAGTAAAGTCATGAAAGGAACTTAAAACTAAACCACAATTGTCCAATCGTCATGTGATCCATTGACTTACAAAATTAGAATTCTCCTTGAAATCAGTATGTATTTCTCCTTAATGTTGTTGTTGTTAAGTGTTATTGAGTTAATTTTGACCCATAGCGACCCTGTATAGGGTTTCCATAGAGCAGCTGGTGATCTAGAACTGCTTACCTTGCAGTTCAAATGACTTTGCAATCTAGCGCATTAACCCACAGCGCCACACCAGGACTCCCTTAATAGTTACTATAAATTTGATTTTTTCATAGCTGAGGCAGCAATCAAAATAGTTAACCAAAAAATTCAAAATAAAATTATCCAGTCTATCATTTTATATGGAGTGGTTGCTTATAAAAACGCCTTTAAATTTTATCTCAGGGGAGAATTCCTCTTACATCACAGTTAAATCAGAAGGAATGTTAAAAATTTGAAAAAAATTCATCCCTGAGTAGTGAGAGATACAAAAATCTCTACAAACATAGACGTGACTGTTTTGTACCCTTTAACAATCTTTACCACAGTTTGAACTATTATTAACAATCAACTATCAAATGTATTTCAATCCTGGATAGTTACTGTCCTATCAAATGTATTTCAATCCTGGATAGTTACTGTCTTCGTTATATTCATCTGATCTTTTTGTAATGAAACTACCAGTGCAACATTAAAAAAAAATCAGATATATAAGAACTCTTGTTTTATTGTAAGCTTTACATTTTTGTCAAGTGCAAGGTTGGCCAGCTAAGAGATCTACTTTCCAATAATGACTGAAGTAATAACTCTTCCTGTCATCTCTTCTTCTGAGTCTCCATTTCCCCTGGTGGTCTTCACCCAAACAATAAAAGTAATACTATTACAACTGAGTTCACTATTATCAATGGCACTGCAAAGGAAAAGAGAAGGGGGATAAAGAATATTAATATAAAGAAAATATCAGGTAAAGACACGGTCACAATTATTATCATGGAAATATCTAACAAGATCTCATTAAAATCATGTAAAAATAGGTGAAACAGGAATACTCAAACATGCAATGGGTCAGAAAGTTGTTGCTGTTAAGTACCATTGAGTTGTTCCGACTCATAGCAACCTTGTAAAGGGTTTCCAAGGAGCAGCTGGTGGGTTAACTGCCAGCCTTATAGTTAACAGTCCAGTGCTGATCCCAGTGTCATACCAGGAGTCCTAATGGGTCATAATAATCAACATTTACTTTTAAAGAAGCGGCTTGGTTTGGAATAAGGGTCCCATACTGGCACACCGAGATCAGTAAGCAACAACCGCAGAGAGCACTGGTGCACTCTGGGAACCTGGAAGCAAAGAGGACGCAGGCCCACACAGTTGCCAGTGACACGAAGATGAAAATGTGATGCAAAAAAGACTCTGTAGTTTCACTGCTAAATTAAGAATGAACGTATATATTATTCTATCCAAAATCATGAGTAGAATAGTTAATAAGTAAATAAATGCTCTAATTTTAATGGCTGTAAGTAAGAGGTTATTGAACTCCTTTTCTTGAAGGGCTCTAAGATATTTTCTAATAGAATGGCAGATTTGGGACTTTTATTTTTCTCCTAAATGCTTTTCTGGCTCAAGATGACTTTACAACTTACAGTTTCCAAAGGCAAAACACTGTTCTTTCAACTCTGAGAAGTAATACTTGGGAGCATCAAAAAGTTTGTGAAAAAGTAGAATGAAAAAACAGTGGAATTTTCCCATGAACTTTCTGAAGCCCCCTCATGTGCAGATGACAGCACTCACTGAACATTCCACTTGCATCAGATACTTTCGGGAGGAATAAGAGGCAAGCTGAGGACGAACCCAATAACTTCAGAAATCAAGCAGGGTTCAAAAGAATTTTTTTTCCACTCTGTATCTGGGGTCTTAAGAGCTTGAGAGTGTCAATCAAAGGTACAAGCAGCCTCTATTTGCCTGGGGTAGGAGCAGCAGAAGAGGCAGGAAACAGAGGAGAAACTGGAATTTGAGGCTAATTGCCTCCACAAACAACTGCCTTCTTTGTCATGAGGTCAGAACTGGATGGTACCCAGCAACCATTACAGAATGTTAAAATCAAAGATTCTATAGAAGAATCCATATTAAAAAGAGGGGAAATGTGGAACAGAATTAAAAATTCAAACAAACTCTAGACTTTCTGGAGCCATTAAGGCTGAATGGTTCCCGGGAATTACTACCCTGCAATAATCTTTACATTTAACCTGAAACTATCTTCCCTGAAGTCATCTTTGACCAAACAACAACTTGGCTTACTAAGTAAAGAATGTCTGCTTGAGCACTGTTCTCTTTTAAAGAACGATCTAAACTGGGATCAAACGGAGAACAGCAACTTGAAAGACTGGATGAAAAGGTTAGGGGGCAGTGAGGTGATCTTAATGGCAGTGGAATAATTTGGAAAAGGACAGTGAGACTAGTCATACAACTTGAAGAATGTAATCAATGTTGTTGAATTGGTGTATGTTTTGCTTTGTATTATTTTCACACACATACACACACACACATGAAACTATGCTCCATTATGATAAGGGTATGTGATAACATTTACACTCTGAACCTCTGCTTCTTGAATCAAACTAAAAAAACATTCTTTATGGTTACCAGAGGTAGAAGAGGAAAAGAAGGTAAGTTCATGAATGTAGTATAGCATGTAAAGGCAAAGTTATAAAATCTTCTTAAACATAACCAACTCCCTTGAGGGAATGAGCCACTGGGCCTGGGGGCTCAGGACGATGGTCTCAGAGGACATTAAGGTCAACTGGCATAACACAGTCCACAATGACAATGCTCTACACCCTGCTTGGATGAACAGTGACTGAGATCTTAAAAATGAACAGCAATTTAAGGTGCAACTATTGGTCTCTCCCTGTCCAAAGGAAAGAAGATCGAAGACACTTGAAAACTATGGACTAATTAGTCCAAACCATTGGACAAATGCACTAGGTAAATCTGTCTCCATGACCCTGAGACCAAAAGATCTACACAGTACCCAGCTACTCTTTACTAACTGTTCTCAAAGGGATTACAACACAAATCACTGTATAGAGTGGGAGAAAAATGTGGAACGAAACTCAAAATCATAAAAAGACCAAGCTTACTGGATCGATACAGACTGGTGAACCCCTGAGACTATGGCCCTTAGTCACCCTTCAGATCCAGAAGTGAATTCACCTCAATGGTTCAATTTTCAGCCAAATGACAGATAGGTCTCTAAAGGGCACAGGGAGCTCAGGTAGCATAGTGGGTTATAAGCTGGGCTGCTAACCTAAAGATCAGTAGTTTGAATCTACCAGCTGCTCCATAGGAGAAAGATGAAGCTTTCTGCTCTTGTAAAAATGTTCAGCCTCAGAAACCCTACATAGGGTGATAAGAGTTGGAACCAACTCCTTGGTACACAGCCACTAACTACCAATAAAGGGAACAGTAACACTAGTGGTATAATGCACACCTTAGAATAATCAACCATTTGAGATCAAGAGGGCAACATTTACCCAAGGCTAAGTTCAGCAGGTTAGGACAGGGGAAAGAATGGAAACGGGAAACACAGGAAGGGAGTAGAATCAGTGGTATGCACGGAAGGGACTGCAATCAGTGAGATGAAACAAAATGTGTATGAACTGTTGAATGTAAAACTGACCATCTGCTTTGTAAACCTTCACCCAATTCACAATAAAAAGTTAAAAAAAAAAAAGGAATACTCCACTCATTTTTTTTCTTACCTCTCATCACGGTTCTTACAGATCGAACAAGGTTCATTAGCTGAGATTTAATTCCTGGCTCCTCTCCGAACCCGCCAATTCCCTGGTCTGTTCCCCAGCCAACTGCACAATACAAAGACGATTAGCGGTGTTAAAATTCATTCTGTACTTGCCTTGCTCCTTCATTTCTCACCTTTTAAAAAGATTAGTTTGAGCCCTTATTAAAGACATCAAATATAAAATTATATGGCTTCTAAGAAATGTTAAAATTACATTGTGTAAATATTCTATCGTTTTCTATTTTTCTACTTAGCGTCCTGGTGTGGCACTGTGGGTTAATGTGCTGGGCTACAAAATTGGTTTGAATCACAAGATTGGCGATTCAAGCTCAACAGACACTCCTCAGAAACCCTATACAGGGTTGCTATGGGTTGGAACCGACTCCATGGCACTTAAGAAGATTTTTTACTTAGCAGCAACAAACTCATTTACATACCTTGATATTATAAAATCAATGACACTCTAAATTATCCAATAGCATTTAATTTAGTGCAGAAGACCACCGATAGCCTCCACCCCTTCCTTTTTTAAAGTAAGAAACAAAATATTTCTCAGGTCAAAACTGAAAACCAAAGCACACTGTCAAGCTCAGTAATTAATTAGCTCAACTCAGAATTTATAAAGCCCTACATAATTATTGACACTCTGTTGGCAGAGTGGATTAAGCACAGGACTGCTAACTGGAAGGCTGGCGCTATGAACCCACCAGCTACTCTGTGGGAGAAAGATGAGGCAGTCTGCAGCTGTAAAGATTTACAGTCTCAGATACCCTAGGGAGCAGCTCTCCTCTGTCCTGCAGGGCTGGTAGGCCTTGGAATCTACTTGACAGCAGTGGTAAAGGGGAAAAAACCCCAAACACTAATATAATTATTGGCACAAAAACACAGTAACTGAGATTCATTATCTTTCTTGGGGAAATTGTAGCCTACGTCTGGTCACAGCTCTCCTGGGCCTTCAACGGCATGCTCCATCCTACCAGCAGATACTCATCCTTTCCTCAACATTCCTCTTCATGCCTCCATCTGTGAGGTGACGAGGTTAGTCCTCTACCCTCATTTTCTGTAAATGGGCCTTCTACCTTCTCCTGTGGCATTTACCTGTGCTTTATTGACTACGCAAAGGCCTTTGATTGTGTGGATCATTACAAGCTATGGACAACATTGTGAAGTATGAGTACTCTGGAACACTTAATTGTGCTCATGAGGAATCTGTACATGGACCAAGAGGCAGTTGTTCAAACAGAACAGGG